TCTTCTCTGTGGCCTTTCCCGGCCAGTGAGAGCCTCACTATGGGGGGGAGAGTCCCAGAAGCCAAACACTTTACCCCACTGCCATCCCCAGCAAGGCCTAGGGTGAGTCCCCCAGGCCTGGGTGGTCGCTGGGAAAGGCCGGTGAAATGTGGCACCTGGCTGGTGAGGGCACTGTGGATACTCCGGCGCCTCAGCTCCCAGTATGAGAGCCTCGGAGCTGGGGATCCCCTCATGCAGCTCGTTCAGAAAGAAGGTTGGGCACGGAGCTTCTTACCAAGAAGCTAAACCTTCAGTGTCTGTCACTCAGAACATGGATGGCACTCCCCACCGACTCGTTTGGCCACATACAGGGTTGGTCTTGATTTGGGGAGTTAGATGGAGAAATAGAATGTGTGAGAGGGAGTAGGCACCACGGGCAGGTGTCCTGAGTTTGATGTAAACCATCCAAGCCAAAGGAAGTTTTAATCAGCCCAGCCAGGAAGAAGCCAGGGCCAGGCCAGCAGCGGGTGGGACGGAGCGGGGAGCGTGCCTGTCACTTGAGTTGTGGCCACTCTCAGTCCAGGGCAAAGTGTAACTCTGTAAAACCACTTAAGGATGTGAGTGGTTTTAACCTCCTGTTGAAAATTTTACTTCTTCTTCCCCCCTTTTCCTTGTCCTGGGTTCTGAAATCCAGTGGCAAAATGCAGAGAACGTTTGAGTGAGTGATGTGCACATTTGCGTTGAACTTGGCTCTTGTCAGATTCCGGCATCTATAGTGGGAAAGTGGGCCTGGCAAGGACTTTGGATACAGACCCTTCCACATGCCCCTCTCCCATTACCCTGTGACAGCATCAGGTTGTCAGGCCCTTTGTGGGACATGGTGACATTGTCAGGTTCTGAGCCTGGGGGCCCTGGTCCCAGAGCTCCTTTGTCCCGCCTCCTGCAGCAGAGCCCAGGCCCTGGACCGTGCTCGTTGACTAAGAAGCTGCGGGAACTCACTGTCACCCCTCAGCCTGGCTCCAGACCCCTCTCTCTCTCTCTCTCTCTTTTTTTTTTTTTTTTAAGATTTATTTATTTGAGAGAGCGAGAACGAGAGAGAGAGAGAGTACATGAGAGGGGGGAGGGTCAGAGGGAGAAGCAGACTCCCCGCTGAGCAGGGAGCCCGATGCGGGACTCGATCCCGGGACTCCAGGGTCATGACCTGAGCCGAAGGCAGTTGCTTAACCAACTGAGCCACCCGGGCGCCCCAGACCTCTCTCCTGATGAGAATCTGGGAGAGTGTAGCCTTGCCCCTGTAGGGTGGTATCAGAAGCATTGCAAGACCCCTTCATTTGTTTAAAAAAAAAAAAAAAAAAGGAAAAGATTGTATAGGAAGGGGCATGAACTCAGAAATTTTTAGCATTTTGATAGCACAGTCCTTCCAACCATTTTTAAGGCCTAACCCTTCCCTTCCAAAAGCATTTCAGGTGGATTACGGCATTTAAAAGGCTGTAGTGTTTGACTTTTAAGGGATAAAACCGCAGAGATTCATGCAGAAGATTCAGAATGAGTAGATAGGACCCAGGTGTCTGAGTGCACATACTGAATTTAGCCACAGGTTCTGAAGGGACGAAGGCACGGGTTGGGTTTGGCAGAGCAGAGAGTGGGGCCGCCTGGACAGCGTGCAGGGCTGGCTCTTCTTTGGGGGTGCCCGCATCCCACTGTTCAGACACCAAAGAAGGGGCTGGTCGGTCCTCAGGCCCTTCCCAAGGGAGGATGTGCCCAGGTTGGGGAAGCGCGGCCAGAGGAGTGCGGGGGTTGGTTTGGCCTGGTCGGTGGTCCTCATTAGAATTACTGTGAACAGCCTGCCACAGCTCAGCTGAGTTAATCTAATGACTTTTTCTCTTGTCTGTTTTCTTCTTCCCATCTTCCCGTTTTTGTGTGTCTTCCGCCTGGACTCTGTAGTATAAGTCTGTGTTTAGGTCCTACTCCCAGGACTTCGTGCCTCACAGCCAAGCTTCTGCTCAGCCTTTCCTTCCGCCTACCTCCTCTTCCTCTCCACATTTCCCCCCCATCCACCAGCCTCAGAGCTCTGACTTAGTGGTGCCAGCCGTAGCCAGTCTGCCTCCCAGCACCGTGGACGGGCCTCTCTCATCTTCTCAGGAGAGCAACTTTCATGGGAACACTGTCCGCCTTCCTTCCGAAATCTCTCTCACTGACTCGCCCCAGACGCCTTCGGTGAGAACTCAGCGCACACCCCCCCCCCCACATGGGGCTGCCCGTTCTGAGAAAGCAGGATGGCCGTTCACGAGCCCGCCATCACCGCCCGTCACCGGCAGCCAGGCCCGTTGCTGGCACATGCCCAGCAGCCGCGGGGCTAGGTCCGGGTCCCCGGAAGGTCACAGAGTGCGGTAGTAGCCTGTCTGTCTCCAGAACAGAAATGGGAACCTTCCGTACGAAGTTCCCGTCAGATGGGGAATCTGATTTTTCCACCAACAGATTAGTGACCAGTTAGAGACAGTCCTGATGCGCATGAGACAGAAAATGCTCCTGCTTTTCCGTTGGGTTGTGTGTTGTTAGAGAAAGCCACCGACACGTTTGGAAGACAGATGCAGACAGGACCCTGACAGAGGTCAGAAGTAGTGGCCTCTGGTGCCGTATGTGGTGCTGACGGAGGGTCTGCTGCCTGTGCCGTTGCGCTCGCTGAGTTCTTCATCAGGGCACGGGGCCACCACCTTGCAGGGTGCAGGGCGTGGCCGCGTGTTGACCTGTCTGGTGTTGCCTCTCTCCTTCCACGGCCTGCCGCGCCCATGGCACTGGGAACCCCCTCTGGGGCAGCGCAGGGAGGAGGGCGCCTCCTCTGGGGCAGTTTGAATGGCCCTCCGCCTCTTTGGGGAAGATCCAGCAGGAAGGTTGCGTCCCCTGTAACACAGAGGCAAGAGGTGGCAAAAGCGGCAGCGTTCTCTGGCCAGGGGGGGAAGCTTCCCAAGGAGCAGCGAGGGCCCGCTGCTGCCCCTTTGCCTCCCCACGGGAGGAGGGCCCCAGGCAGGGCCAGCCTGGTAGGCCGCTCTCTCTGAGCCGTGCCGGCTGCCTGGGGGGCCTGTCACATGTGCACTTCCTCTCACCCTGTCTCCCCCAGAGTGCAAACACCAGTGAGGAGGCTGGTGAGGGTGAATACGTCAGTCTGTATTCCTCTGGCCAGGGCCGCGAGGAGCTGGTTCGCTCTCGAGGAGTAAGTAACCTCGGGGCCGCCGCGTGCATGTGGCCTGGCCTGGCAGGGGTGGGCCCTGCTTCTGCCTGGCTGAGCCTCCCGGTCACTAGCAGGCTGGGGCCCCGCCGCCTTGCCGAGAGCCAGCATGTCTCCGTGGGGAGAGGACATGGCTCCTGGAGGAGGTCCTCCCTCTGCTTTCAGTGCGTGTGGCGCTCTTCGGGCCACAGGGGTCTTCTGGAAATCTGCAGAGGCAGCACGGTGTTGGCCTGGCCACACATTGGTCGCTCTCCGCGATTTCGTTCTATCTTGTCTTCTAGTGTTGAGGTCCATCTTCTGTCCCCTACCCAGAGGGCGGGAGTCTTTTCTCCTACACCACCAAGCCTCCCGAGCCTTCGCCCCCTCGTGCTCCCCTGGCACTCTTCTTCACCCCCACAGGAACAGCTTCCTCAGAAGCCGGGTGGGTCTGGCATTGAGCCCCTGCTGTGTTAATGCACCTCCCTCCTGAGAGAGTAGAGAAACCCCTGATGTGGCCACCTTTGGTTGACTTCTGTCCCAGCTTGATATGGCCGTTCTGCTGAGCGGTCAGCTTTCTGGGTTTTGCTGCAGCAAAACATGAACAAGTTCGAAAGCTTCAAAAATAATGAGTCCCTTGAGAGGAGGTGCCATGAGGACTCGAGTCCACCCTGGTGATCAGCTCACGGGGCCCAGACCATTAAAAGTATGGTCACTCCCTGTAAGATGCCCCCCCCACACACCAAGGGCATCCCCACAGGATCTTAGCTGTCCACACAAGGTAAGCCCCACTTTAGGCGTTAGCAAGTCATAGAACATTGGAGTTTTCACTCCGGTGGGATTCGACCCTGTCCATGGAAGCTGTTTCTCTTCCGACGTTCGCTCCTCACCCGTCCGCTCTGGTCACCTGTGCCCCCGCATCATCCAGTTTAGCGTCCACACAATGGAGCCTATCCCTAGGTGGCCTTCCGTGGCTCTCCCCCTCCACCCATGACCACGTTCAGTGCTGACTTTTCCTCAAAGCACTGTCCCTGAGGACAATCCGTGTATTCATGCCGCCCTGCTCTCTGTTGTGGCCTCGGTGGCAGACCAGGGATGCCAGATAGCCATGTTGTCACTGAGTGGGGTGGGCCCAGATTACCAGGGCCAGGCCGCTGGAGGAGAGGGGGTTGCACTCATGCGCTTGAGCAGTTAGACCCCTTGGAACCATACTGGGAGGCAGTTGAACATGGCGGTCCTGAGGACTTGGTTTAACTAGGAAGTCAGCAAAGGTTTGCTGCATACCGGCAGGGCACCGTGGTTAAAGACACAGGTTTTGGAGGCAGACAACCCTGGGTTTGAATGCAGGCTGTAGCCTTCTAGCTATGTGGTCTTGGGCAGGGCCTTTAATCGCTCCCAGCCTGGGTCTCTGTGTGTGAGTGGGCACAGTGACGCCACTGAACAGACAGGGTCTTGGTCAGGGCCAGGTGAGAAGAGGTACGTGAAGCCCTTAGCACAGTGCTTGGCTGAGCCTGGCCGAGTAGTGGCAACCGTGACAGTCCTTTCTTCTAGGAGGTGCTTGAGATGGCTTCATCTAGGTTGGCAGCTGACAGAGGTCCTAAGTAGGGGCACCTTCACTGTCCATAAAGGCAAGATGCTAGTCCGAAGAGGGCCTTGCCCTTCCTGTGTCATTAACCACATTCACGGTTACCTTGTTCACATGTCGGATTGCTCCGTAGGAACTTGCGCTCAGAAGCCACTTGCAGGCGGGAACGCTGGGAAGCAGATCCTCCCAGCGTGGGGCATCTGTCCCAGACCCAGTACCGACTTCTCTTTCCAGGAATCACCAGCTATGAAAGACGGACATCCCAGAGGTCCCTCGTCGGCCAGCAGCACGGCCGGGAAGGAGAGCAGAGACGGTGACAGGTAGGGAGTGACCAGGTGGAGCAGGTTCCTTGAAAGCTGCAGGCCCGGCTGGGGAGGGCGGCCCCTTGCCCGCCAGCACTCCGGGCCTGCGGGAGCTTGAGGTGTACACCCTTTCCTTTCTTCTGACTCGCGAAATTCTGTGTGTTCAGGGTAGAAAACATGGCAAGTACAGAAATGTGTGAGTCAACCGGATACGTCACTAATAATCCCACCCTTAAAGGCCTTCATTCTGGCATGCAGTCTGCCTTACTTCCTGATTATGTGTTCACATACGATCTACTCTACAAATGACCCATGACAGTCTTAAATCCCAGGCCAACCTTCCTCGGCCTCTTCCAAGTTCAGGCGCACTAAGGGGGTGTCAAAGACCCCCCCCCCAAAAACTTACTGTGAGTTACTAGATGTGGTGTGTATATTGTGTTATTAAACCATTTGAAAGTAAGTTACAGACATGACACACAGCCCTTGAATACTTCAGTGTGCCTCCTAAAATATTTTAATTTTTTAAAAAGACTTTATTTATTTTAGAGAGAGAGAGTGAGCATGTGGGGGTCGGGGTGCGGGCAAGAGGGGGAGAGAGAGAGAATCTCAAGCAGATTCCCCATCCAGAGCAGAGCCCGACGCAGAGCTTGATCTCACGACCCTGAGATCGTGACCTGAGCCGAAATCAAGAGTTGGACACTTAGGGCTCCTGGGTGGCCCAGTCAGTTATGCATCTGCCTTCAGCTTAGGTCATGATCCCAGGGTCTTGGGATCCAGCCCCGCATAGGGCTCCCTGCTCAGCGGGGATTCTGCTTCTCCATCTCTCTGTACCCCTCCCCTGCCTGTGCTCACTCTCACGCTCTCTCTCAATAAAGAAATATCTTTAAAAAAAAAAAGAGTTGGACGCTTAACTGACTGAACCACCCAGGCACCCCTCCTCCTAAAATATTTTAAAAGCCTACCAGATTACAATACCATCATCACACCTAAGAAAATTAATAATATATTCCCTCATATCATCTGATATGCAAACCATCTTCTATTTCCCCAGTTCTCCCTAAAATTAACTTGTGTAGCTTATTTTTTTAGAACCAAGACCAGTCAGGAGTCAGTACATTTAGTTCTGTGTCTCTTTAATCTTTTGTAACATTTTTCAGTATTAGCACAAGTCACACCTGACCAGGTTTAGAAATATCTAGTAAATATCTCCATGTGTAGGGCCTGCAGATCCACTCTGCCATCCACAACTTCATGTTGACATCGCCTTCTTAGTGAACTACTCTACAAGTTCAAGCTTTTCCTCCCTCTGTAGGCCAAGGTTCAGCTACCTCTGGGGTTCTAGGCACAGAGCTAGGCAGTACCCACTTGTCAGGCCTAAGCATAAATGGTTGAAGAGGTGGTAAAAATAAAATAGCAAGAGACAGGAATAAAAATAGAAAGCATTCATTCTGTAGGGGCCTGCTGCAGAGGGCTGCCCACCCAGGCTGCTCGTGGCCAGTCCTAGGTGCTATCCATGTGGAGTCTGCCTGATCCATCTACCCGGGCTAAGATCTCCCCACAGGTTAAGCAGGGGATGATGGGTTTTGTAGTTGAACACCTAGTAGCAAACGGTGTCTGCGCCAAGCAACAGGAGCCCACGGGTTCTGCCTCCAGCTGCACTGAACCCGAGAGCGCCATTTTTCAGAGTTGCAGATGGCCCTTGTAAAAAAAAAAAAAAAAAAACAAACAGAAGGATGAGCACATTGACTGCTTAGAAGAAATTGTGAAAATGTTGTCCTCTTTCCACGAAGGCCAGAGCGCAGACCCGACACTGGAGGGACATGTAGCAGATGGTTCTTCCCAGGACCGTGTGTGATTTTGCTCTGGGCCATCCTTGTCTTACTGAAGGCATAAATTTTTATGTCTCACACACTTAGGGTTAAAAATGTGGCCTATGACCACAAGGCCAGCATGGTGGAAATCATCAGAATGAAATGGGGATACGGGAGGAAATGCTAGGGAAGCAAGGTGCCTGCACACCAGCATCCGTCTGCTCCTGGCATGCCCCCTCGCTGCCCCACATTTCCCCTCTGCTGGCGGTTCTCTCCTCCTCCCCCTTCACCAGCACACTCCTGCTCAGTGCCGCAGGTCTCTGCTCGGCTGTCCTGCTGCAGGGGCCTGCTGCCCTTCACACCGGGCTGGGCTTTCTGCTCAGGCTACTGCCCCTACTGCTCGTTTTAACGTCCGTCTCTCCTGCTACACCCAGCACCCCAAGGACAAGGGCCAGTCTGCCTGGTTCATGCTTCTCCATCCCACAGAAAGGTGGCCCTTGGAAAAGACTTGAGGAATGACATTAATAGCCACGCAGACTCTCCCAACCTGCTTGCCCTTCTGCTCTTCCTGTCCCCGGATACTGACTGTGCATATGGTGGCCTTGACAGAGTGACTGATCCCATCGCTTACTTAAATAGCTCAATGAAACCTTCTTGATCTTTTTTTTCTTTTCATTTTTTCCTTTTCTTTATTCTCTTTTTCTTTTTTTCTTTTTTTTTTTTTAAGTAGGCTCCATGCCCAGCATGGAGGCCAACGCAGGACTTGAACTCATGACCCTGAGATCAGGAACTAAGCTGAGATCAAGAGTCGGATGCTTAACCCACTCAGGCTCCCCAGTCTCTTTCTTAATCCCTTCCATTGACAGAGCATCCACAGAGAGCAAGAAATGTCCCAAAGTCACACAAGTCATTAGTAGTGGTGCTGGAAATCCAGTCCGTGCCCTGGCTTCCGGCCCCCACTCAGGCCCCCTGTGCTGGGGGTGGGGAGCAGTGTGGCCTTCACGTGGGAGCTGCAGTTCCAGGAGAACCTGTTAGGGGCAGTCATAACTCGTAGTCACGCAAAGGGCCGCACTACCTCAGCCCCCTGGTGTCCTGGACCCCAGGGTCTGCTGGACCCTGGCAACACAAACGACTTCTCTCTCTAGGGCCTCAAGGTCACCAGATGGTTCAGAGTTGGCTCGATCGGAGGAGGAAGTGGATGAGCTGTCCCTCATCGACCACAATGAGATTATGGCAAGGCTGACACTCAAGCAGGAGGTGAGTACAGGCCTTGTGCGGTCTGGTCCATAAAGGGGTGAGGGGGCTTTGAGGACAGTGTAACCTTGAGGTGTCTCAAACAGAAGGACGCATGCAAGGCACCAACACATGAGATGGCCACCCCACATTTCGTGGGCTCTGTGCACGGCATTTACCCTGACCCGTGCCTGGGCCACCAGGGGTGCTGAAGGATCCTGAGCAAATGGATGGCCTCCTGGAGAAAGTGCACTGTCCCCTTCTCTGACACTTCTAGAGAGTCATCTTGGGCAAGTCACGTAACATCTCTAAGCCCCAGAGGACAGGACTCTGGAGGATATTATAACAGTGAAACCCGTGTAGGGTGCTCAGCATAGAGCCTGAGCGTGGTGAGCCCTTATTAGCAGAAGCTGCCTTCACATTCGTATTGACCAAATAACCCACTGTAGTTTCGGTGGGAGGCACAGTCTGATTCAGAAATCTCTGGCCTGCAGCCGCCTCTGTCCTGTGGCTTCTCAGGAGGGCCTTGTGCGATTCTGGAACCACAGAGGAACCTCTTAATGTGATAGCCCCGACCCAGCCCTGGGGAAGTGACTGTGTTTCTGGGCTCCGGCTCCATGGCAGCGCACACACGGACGCACAGACAAGCAAGCGGATTCTGCCCTTTGCACAGTGCCGGGCTGGGCCGAGCAGAACAGGCAGGGCAGGGCAGGCGGGGACAGTGGGGCAGCTGGCTTCTCTGCAGAGAGAAGTGATGCTTCATGACCCTTGCCAGAAAGTCCTTCTGAAAAATCAGGTCCTGGGCATAGCTACCCTCAGCCTTAGCTGGAAATCCAGGAGGCTCTCGGGACTCTGGAATCCAGGGGTGAAAACACGGATGCCCTGGAGAGGCAGGTGCATCTCCGAAATTGAGGGCCGTGAACCCATGGGGGCTCACGAGGTTGGTTTCCTTCAGAACCAGAGGTTGAGGCGGGGGGCGGCGCTCAGGCAGGCCTGGTGCTGTGCTGCTGGGCTCCCATTCCTGGCCCTGCTGACCGCTCGCTCTGGCTTATGGGCTAAAGCTTCTGTTTGCCCACTTGAAAGTAAGACTCTTTACTTAATTGGCAGAGGGCAGCTCGTATCATAGAAGCGACGTCAGGCACAATTGAACGTCTTTGTGACGCTTTACACTCCTCTAAGGGCTCCCTGTGGAAGAATTTGTGAGGTTATGACAAGTGACTTCTCCTTGCACCTGGGGAAACAGATGTAAATTTAGGATGGCTTGCTGCAGTTTTAGGAACGTGACCGTACTTGGAAATAGCCCTGCTGCCTCTACAGTCTTCTTGGGAATAGCCCTGCTGCCTCTACAGTCTTCTTGGGAGTGGCTGGTGGCCGTCCTGCCTGCCTCCCTGTGGGTCCCACCGTCCCGGCATGAGAACTCCCCTCCTCACCTCCCTGCCCCCTGGGTGGGTGAAGAGGGAGAGATCTAATGGTGCCATCGTCCCCCAACTCTGGAGTGACCCGGTGCAACGTGCCCTGGTGTCTGGACAGCTCCCAGGGCCGTCCACCTCCCAGAGGAGTTCTGGTCTGTCCTGTCTGCGGAGTGCAGAGCAGGCTCTGCCCTCGGTCACACTGCTCCCAGGTGACGGGGGGCGGAGGGAAGGTGGCCCCGGGCTCTCCGCAGTGCAGCGGCTTGGGCATCTCGTCTCTGCCTACAGCTTTCTGATCCGACTCTTTTATGGCTGAATTCTGCTGCATGCCCTCCTTTGCTTTGTCCTTGCAGGGTGACGACGGGCCGGACGTCCGTGGCGGGTCTGGAGATATCCTACTGGTGCACGCGACTGAGACAGACAGGAAAGGTGCGGCAGTGCTCTGGGCCGGGGCCTTGGTCTCTGTCACAGCCCTCCGGGGCTCGGAACGTGGTCCTGGTGCCCTGCGGCCACTGTGCGGAGAGCCCACCCTGGGGATGGGACCAGCCCTCTCAGGGTGCACCCTCCACGGGTAAAGGGTAGTGACGACCCCAAGGGCCCCCAGAGGCGTCAGAGGGTTTGCTGCGAGTGCAGAACCTAGTTAGGTGCTCTGCCAGCGGCAGCTCAAGTAACAACACGTCCAACAACGTTAACGTTACGGCAACACGTAGGTAGCTGTTTCAGCTTTTCCTGATGTCTGACCCACTGTGTTATTCCAGACACTAGACAGGATTTCACTCGTGGCCTCCACAAGCGGACCCCGGCACACGTTCTGTCCGGAGCCCGGTCTTAGAGCAGTGGTGGCAGCGTCCTAGGACGGGCTTCTGATCCATTGACCGGGCTGGAAAAGCAGGGCACCTGCTGTTGGGTGGACTCTGTGCTAGCAAAAGCGCGCTCACTCCACCTCGGGTTCTGGCAGAAAGAGGGAGAGGAGGTACCATGACCTTGACCTCCGCCAGGACGGGGGAGGGGCGCTGCAGGGCCCACACAGTGGGGGGCTCCCCATACTCCTCTCCCTTCTACATCCCTTCTACATCTTTGAAAGTTATTAAAAAGGGGATGTGACAACAGTATTAAAGCCAGTTCTGGGAAGAATTAAAATGCCCCAATCCTGAAACCCTCACCCACCAACTTTACTTTTATATATGACCATGTCCCCATTTTTACAGCAGATTTCCCCAAGTGTGTTACACAGAATGATTCTGGGAATTTTTAAATTATGAAAGTAGTACAGAAATGGTCATGTTGCAGAGAATTTAAAGAATAGAGAAAAAGAAGAAACCCCAACAAACTCACTGTAGCCACTGTTTTGCCTTCTGGGGTTTCTTCACCCCTGGTTTCTTTGGGGTTTATTTATTTATTTATTCACTTAAAGATTTTATTTATTCATTTGAGACACAGAGATACAGAGAGAGAGCATGAGCGGGGAGAGAGGCAGAGGCAGAAGGAGAAGCAGGCTCCCCGCTGAGCCAGGAGCCTGATGTGGGGCTTGATCCCAGGACCCTGGGATCATGATCTGAGCCGAAGGCAGATGCTTAACGACTGAGCCACCCAGGCGCCCCCACCCCTGGTTTCTTTGGACTGGGGCAGAACCCAGTCCTGGGGACTGAGTTCAAAGCCAGGCACGCCCCGGCCTGGCCTCAGCTGACCCGGCTGTTTGAAGAGGTCCCCAGTGGACAGGGAGATGCGTGGAGCTGACGTGAGGCCATTCTCAGGAGCAGCCCTCGCTCTGCTGCTCTGTAGCAGACCCTCCACGCGAGCCTGAGCACCAGCCTCAGCTGGGCAAGAGGAACAGTTTTCATTTTTATCCGAAGGACTGAAGTGGGAGCTGGCTCTGTCCTCAGCTTGGAGCAGCAAGCTCTGCTTCCTGCAGGTGCAGCCAGCTGCAGCCCCGGCCAGAGGGAGCCCCATGGGCAGGGCAGTCCAGAGCCTTCCAGGTGGCCAACGGTGCCCAGGAAAGGAGGCGCTGCTGCCAGCTGGGTCCTCCACTTGATTTCAGTCACGGAGAGATTCTGAGGCTGCGGGGAAACAAAGTCATTTGTACGTGGATGGATGGTGGAGGCAGAGGCCCTAGGCCACATGGCACGTTCCTTGGGCAGTTGGCTTCCTGTGGACCGGAGACCACCCTAGTGGTACTACATTGGATCACCCACGGCTTAGGGCATGCAGACTTGGATCTGTTCTTCCAGAAGCAGGCAGTGGCCTGTGCTGGGCCCATCTCTGCCTCCTCACCTAGCCCGTCTTTGAACAAAAGCCCCAGTGGGCAGTGAGCTGGTGAGTTTAGGATCCAGGAAGGAGGAGCCTGAGCAGGATGCTGTCGGGCCATGCTCTGTGCTTCCAGCCAGGCCCACCCCTGCACAGACCCCAGATCCCAGATGCCGGAGCAGGTGTTGCTTTTGCTTTCGATTGTCCTGGAGGTGATTGTCCAGGGCACGGGAGCCTGCACTGCTCCGCTGGAGAAGCGGGGATCCTCTCGAGTCTTCCATCTGGCGAGCTGGGGGATGAATGAGAGAAGACAGGAGAAGGGGGTCCGTGTCCAGAGAAGAACAGCCTTATCTTAGGTCTCTCAAGATGTGGAAATTCCCAAGATTTTTGTTCCTGGGCCCTGCCATCTAAAGTATCACCTATGATTTAGCTTCAAAATTCTGCTGATGAGTTTGAATTATTTTCTCTATGCCCACAATTAATACCCTTTGAATCATCGAGTCTTAGGACAGATAAGAAGCTCTTGATGTGTGGTCAGGGATGGCAGGTATGTGCGGCAGGCGAGCTGCCCCTCTTTGTCTCCTGCCAGTGGCAGGCATCACTCATCAGTTGTTCTTCGCTCTAGATTTGGTGTTGTACTGTGAGGCCTTCTTGACCACCTACAGGACCTTCATCACCCCGGAGGAGCTCATCAAGAAGCTGCAGTACAGATATCCTTTCCCGTGGTCCCCCAGCCCTGGCCCCACACCCCTCCCAGCATGGAGCCTTGGGAGCCAGCCAGGAGAGAGAGGGCCTTTTTTGCTTGCTCCCCCGCGCCCTAGCTTTGGGACCTCAGGCCAGGCTTTCTCTTCCAGTCTCCTTCCTTGTCTGAGTGCTGAGTGAGATGACAGGAGGTGCCAGATCATGGGTGTGCTGCCTGACAGCAGTTGTGGTCACTAGGAAGTCCTGAAAAGGAGTTAGTTAGAAGGAACTGACACACCGCAAGAGGGAGAACGCACTCAGGCTCCTGTGGAGACCCAGGTCGCTGGCACCTGCAGCTTCTGAGCCGAGCCCCAGGCCATTGAGGTGATAGGTCCCAAGTGTGCGGGGCTTATGGGAGTCAAGACTCACATGAACAGCCTCGGGGGCAGGCACAGTCACTCCGCCTGGTGGCAGACCCAGCAGTTGACAGACCATGTCCAGACAGAATTGGCTCCTACCCGTCACCCGTATCTGCCTCACGGGCTCACCCTTTCAAGGATGACCATGCAGTAATGGTTGAGGAAGACTCCAGGCCCTAGGACCCAGCGTCATTGACTTTATCTCAAACCTGCTCCTCCTGCGGAGGCTGACACTGAACTGCTGCTGTTAACAGCGGGCCACCTCCCCATGTCACAGCCCATGACTGCCATCTGCTGGAAGCTGCTACGACCCGGGACAGGAAGTCCTGAGTCCTCCAGGCTGTCCCCCTTCCCTTCCTACGTGCCCTGAGGCTTGACCTCTTGTCTCCTCTGGACCTCTGTGGCTCCTTTCACCGTCCCCGTGCCCCAGCCCTAGAGGACCTGGTCCCTCAAGATGGAAGGAGCCCCCACTGCAGAGACTTATGTTCCCTATAGCCTCACACGTTCAGTTGCTCCCAGGCCTGGCTCAACAAGTGATAGTAACTCACCCTTGTTGAGAACTTCCTAGCGTCGGATGGGATGCTAAGCCCGTGCACGTGAAGGGTCACTTAGCTATAAAACTACTTGATATATTATTACTGTATTACATATGCTGTTAAATTACTACCTATTACGTGATTCAGGAAACAGCCTCGGAGAGCTTAAGCGACCCATACACACTCCTGAGCTCAGGTTCCCGGCCCCTACCATGCACGGCAGCTGCAGGCTCTGGGGACAGTCCGTGGTGCGAGGCTCCTTCCTGAGCACCCGTGGATATCTGAAGGGCAGGAAGGACAGCCAGAGCAGGGTCTGAGAGGCTGGCGAGAATCTTTGCCCCTCCAGGCAGAAACCGCTACCTTGGCGAGGAGCTAGAGGTGGCCTGGTGTGTGGCTGCGGAGGGGAAGGGGCGTCTGACGCTGCGGAGAGACGGCTGGGAGGAAACTCGGGGCAAGAGTGCAGGAGGCACCTAGGGACCCCCCCAGTCCCATTGAGAGGGTGTTTAGGGCATGTGGTTTTTGACCACCTTTTTCCACCTGAGGCTCAGCAGGGCAGCCTGCAGCGTTTCAGTAAGTCCCACGGGAAGCTTGGGGGGACCAGACGGAAAGGCAGTGGAAGCAGGGCTCCTGTACGTCATAAGCACCCTGGAAACAGCAGCTGGGAGAAGTAGCCGTCCCCTCTCAGCTCATTCCTGCCTGTGTGAGAATGGCTTTCCTTAACCTACGCTCCACGTACGAGAAGTTCTCTCCCTTCGCCGACACATTCAAGAAGCGCGTCAGCAAGAACACGTTCTTTGTGCTGGTGCGGGTGGTGGATGAGCTGTGGTGAGTGCTTATGCCCAGGGGGTGGCAGGGAGGCCGGGGCACCTCAGGGCTCCCCACCGGGGCTGCAGGCTTCCTTGCTGAGCTGGGGACATCCCGTCCCATTCTCCCCGCTTCTCCCAAGCTGTGTGCCCACAGAGCCCCACCCCGCAGCTCTGATATGGGCTTGCTCCTGCCCACCTGAACAAGACCCTTGGGGAGAATGACCCAGGTACCCATACCAGCCACGGGCCACACCGCTTTCCTCATGGGGGCCGTCCCTCGCACATGCAGCGTAGCCTAGTCCCCCCCCGCCTCTCCCCAGACTTAGCACTCACCGTCACCACTTGCTTAACAAGTGCACGTCCAGCCACTCAGTCTCCTAGGTCTGGAGAGCCGTGGTGAAGGAAACTGCAGGCCCTGCCTTCAAGGCACTTCCCTTCTGCGGGGAGGATGGCCTCAGCCCAGGACAGCACCGAAACCGCCAGGCACGGAAAGTGCTGTGCAGAGGGAGTTCAGGAGCGGCCTGTGGGCGGCTGCTCTCAGGGGCCAGGGCCTCGTAGTGATTCACCACCCAGGCAGGACCAGGGGCCACCTCTGGGGCAGGATCGGAGTGGGAGTGTCTCCGTGGCCCCGGGCCCAAACCTGGGCCCTGGAGCTTGTCCAGTGCCAGCAAGCATTTGCTGAGAGCAGGGCCGTTCTGTGTCACCGGCAGGACGGGACCTTTCCTGGCGCTTTTGAGGCTCCGGGTGGCCATCCCGACACCTTTTTTCCTCTCTTCCCTGAAGAGGTTTCCTAGACCTGCTGGTCACTGCCATGTGACCCTTGGGTATTCTGAGGTGGATTCTGGGCCCAATGGCAGCCGTTCTCTTCCTGGGCCGTGTCCTGGCCCCTCACTGTGTGGCCTTTGGCCCTCTAGCCTCGTGGAGTTGACAGAAGAGATCTTGAAGCTGCTGATGGAGCTTGTCTTCCGCTTGGTGTGCAACGGGGAGCTCAGCCTGGCCCGCGTGCTCCGCAAGAACATCCTGGACAAGGTGGACCAGAAGAAGCTGCTCAGGTGTGCCAACTCCGACCAGCCCCTGGCTGCCCGGGGGGTAGCCGCCAGGTGAGCCACCAGCTGTCTGCCCGTGGCTTCTCCGGCCCTCCTCCACGGGCGTGGTGCCCGGTAGCCACCTCCCCAGCCCTATAGCCTCTCTTCCTGGTTCTGACCAGGCCCTGCAATGGCGGGGGGGGGGGGGGGGACGGTTCTTGTGGACAGCCCGGTGGGTTCCCCAGGGGGCTGGGCCTCTCCTCCAGGGGGTCATGATGGGTGATTTAAAAAACTCCCATTTTTAACCTGGAAGTGAGGAAGCAGGACCGGGGGACACTTACCGGGACAAGGGACAGGTGAATGCATTCCGGGCTGTGGTCAGCTCTTGTCTTCCCGGCACTGACGTGGTAACTGTGAATTCTTGACCACCCCCACCCCCCAGGCCATCCTGCACATTCCTAACCTGTACAGGTTCTAGTCTGTTACCTGTGCCCTAGTCACAGATGTTGAAGCATCACTTCCTTGTCAGCGAGCGTTTCAGTCTTCGTCCCTGTGGAGCCATCTCTGTTCCCGCTGGGCCCCGGCCGTGGGGTCAGGCTGAATTCTCGGGCGGCACAACTGTCTGTGGGAGCCACGGGACCCACCGGGCAGAGGCACCACGGTCCCCAGCAGGAGCGCAGTCTGGTCCTGCCCTGCCACTGGTCGGCTCTGAAGCTGCCGTCCTCCTGCTGTGAGGCCAGGCTTGGGGCGGCTGCTCGCTCTGGCCGCCCAGCTCTGAGGCCGCAGGATGGCGCCCAGCCAGCGCCCACTGTCCCTGTCCCCACCGCTCATCTCATGCCTCTGTCTTCTAGGCCGGGGACTTTGCATGACTTTCACAGCCATGAAATAGCCGAGCAGCTGACCCTGCTGGATGCGGAGCTCTTTTATAAAATAGAGGTATGGTGTTGAGCAGGGCTGGGAAGAAGGCTGTCCCTTGCCCCGGGGTGAGCAGCTGCTGCTGGTCCCTAAGCAGGAGAAACTGCCCATCATTGGGAAGCCGGAGGGCTCCAGCTCCATCCGGTCTACTTCCTTTTTCAGATTCCTGAGGTTTTGCTTTGGGCAAAAGAGCAGAATGAGGAGAAAAGCCCCAACTTGACCCAGTTCACGGAGCACTTCAACAATATGTCCTACTGGTAAGAAGGGGCGGCTGTGCGAAGCCCCGGTTCTCTATCACAGCACACGTCTGGCTGGGTCCCTGTGCTCTCCTTCACACAAGGAGGAGGTGCCCTTTTCCTCCCAGCTCTTTCTGAGACCCTGGGCATTACTTGGAACTGCAGGCAGCAGAGAGCATGCTGGCTGAGGAGGAGCCTGGGACAGGGAAGAGAGCCGGGATTGGTTAGTAATGTCTGCCATAGGTGGCGGCAGGGGCAGGGGTGTTCACTGTGCCATCCTGCACTGGTCACGGCCCAGCTCCCCACTGCCTAGCGACCTCAGGGCTGAGCCTCACGCAGATGCTGCCTGAAAGAGAACAGCAAAGGAGTGCCTTCTGTTAATACTTTAATTAGGCCTGAATTCTTAAAGCAAAATGAAGCCCGAAGGTACACTTATACCATAATGTGTAACAGAATGGTTAGCCTTTCAAGATGTGACTTAAAGGTGCCCCCAGCCTCTCTGCATCAAACAGAGGATGGTCAGAGCGTGGTAGCCACGAAGCCCACACTGCGTCCGACCCCACTCTGCACCCAGCCCATTGCTGCCACTGAAGGAACATCTAAGATTTGTTAAACGCTCTGAGGACTGCTTGTTGGAGGGAACCTGGGTCATGTCCCACTTTGCCGGCTTTTCTCCCCACCACAGGAAGTGCTCCGCTCCTCAGGAACGTGAGCTCAACTGTAGCAAGCCACCACGGGAGGCAGGGGCTTGTAGGGCAGACAGAAACTGCACACAGCCCTGAGCCCAGCCTCCGACCCAGCCCCCTACTGGGCACACGCCTCGGGGTTCCAAGGAGGAGGTGCAGGGGGGGCCCCTCTGAGGGGACTGGCCGTGGCCGTGTGAAGCCAGAGGGTCTGCAGGCCACGGTGAGGTCCTCGTGCAAGGCTGGCCTTGTGGTTGCTACTAAGATTCTCAAGGTGCCCTCCTAACCCACATGCTCACTCGTCTCCTGAACTAATCCTGAGGCCACGTGAGGAGCATTTCCAGCCCCAGTGGTGCTCAGGTCAGCACTTGCCAGGAAATCTCTGCTTGGATGTTACAAAGCCTCCATCTGCACGCACGGCCCAGGGTCCCCATCAGGCTATGTGACCTCTCAGCCTATCCCTGGGATGCTGTGAGCTCCTCGAGAGCAGAAATGGGGGGGCTGTGCTTGGCACCTCAAAAGCCCTGGGCATGTGGTGCAGGTGTCCACATCCCTCTCTCTCCACTAGGACCACCTAGGGGTCTAGAAGGAGACCAGTCAGTTCAGCCATCTTTTTTTCCCTGGGGTTCCTGCAGGGTCCGGTCAATAATCATGTTACAAGAAAAAGCCCAGGACAGGGAGCGGCTCCTGTTGAAGTTCATCAAGATCATGAAGGTAACCGTGGCTGCCCTCCCCAGAGTCTCCTCCTTCAGGCCCTGCCCTGGGCCCTGGGCCTGCCTCACGGCCGCCTCCCCCTCTCTGCAGCACTTACGGAAGCTGAACAACTTTAACTCCTACCTGGCCATCCTCTCAGCCCTGGACTCGGCTCCCATCCGCAGGCTGGAGTGGCAGAAGCAGACCTCGGAGGTGAGTGGCGGGGAGGGAGGAGGTGGGAGGCCCCGCCCGGCCCCTGGCGAGCCAGCCATTGGGGAAGGTGCTCAGGTGTCTGCTTGGCCGCCAGCCACCCCCATCCCCACCCCCCAGTTTGCTGTGGCTAATCTCCAATCTTTGGGCCTGGAGGAGCTGTGTGGTTGGGGCTGGGATTCTCCCCTCACACGGTCCTGCTGCCTGGGCTGCAGGATCATACCTGGGTCCTGCTTCACTGCTTCCTTCCTTCCTTCCTTGCACCCATGCTTCCGGAGGGGCTGCTCTGGGCTGCCGGCAGCATTAGTCCTTAGGAACATACTGTGAACAGGCCAGACCTATTGATGATTTCTTTAGGGTAATTGCCAAAGGGGAAAGTATGGGGTCGTCTGGCCCGTTCGAGGGTCAGGGAGGTCCCCTGAGGAAGGGTCAATCACGCCAAGACCCAAATAGGAAGAGTTTGCTGGGAAGGGAATTCCGGTCAGAGGGGACGGAAGCGCCTCGAGACTGGCACGCTCAAGCAGCAGAACAGAGGCCAGTGTGGCCGTGTCACTGGGGAGGGGACCCGCTCTGGACCAGGAGGGCTTTGGGGAGGCCTGGCAAGGAGCTAGACCTTTATCCTTGTGTGGGGAGGTTCTTTGAGAAGAGAGGCAAAGCCCATAGGGGCTGGGTGTTAGCCGGGCCACCCAAGTGTTATCTTAAGGGGTGACAGAAAGAGACAGTTGTAAGTCTGTTGTATGGAGAAGCGTGGGACCTTCACACTGGCTGCCACAGAAACACCTAGGAGGTCCTGAGGAGGTGACGCTCCGGGTCCGAGGCAGCTAAAAGGTGAAGAGGCAAGCAGTGGGTGGGAGGGGGCGGCAGCAGCTCGGTGAGGTCACCTGCTAAGCCTAGACAGCTCTGCCTTGAGCGCAGCAAGGATCAAAGGCAGGCTGGGAGCCAGGGATGGCCCATTCCTGCTGTGCAAGCCCCCTTGGGCTACAGTGCAGGGTGGCACCCAGCAGGAGGCCCAGCCCCAGGCCCTCTGAGCCGTGGATCTGCAGCAGGCACATGCGGGCCTGGGAGCCAGTTCTCCGCAGCAGGCCCAGTCTGCCTGTAGCTGAGGCAGGGCCCAGGGCTGGGCAGCGGCGGGTGGGTCGGGGAGGAGGCTGGCACTGGGGCCCCAGCATGGTCTCAGCCCTCACACACTGTCCCTCCCACCCAGGGCCTGGCCGAGTACTGTACACTGATCGACAGCTCATCCTCCTTCCGCGCCTACCGGGCCGCCCTCTCCGAGGTGGAGCCCCCCTGCATCCCCTACCTGTGAGTAGAGCCCCTGCAGGTTTGCTCCCCGGCTGCTCTGGGGGAGACGTGGGTGTAGATAGAGAAATCCTCCCTTAAAGGTTTCCAGCTCAGACAATGAGACTTCTATTTTAACTTTAAACTACGTAACAAGGAGCAGGTTCTACTTTTAAAACAGAAAGGAAGGGTCCAATGAAAACGGTCCTGCTGTCCCATCTCCCAGTCCCGCTACTGTTTCCTTCCTGCATCTGCCAGGCTTCCCCCCACCAAGGGTCCTCAGACTTGGCTGCACCTTACAGTCAGTCACCCAGGAGCCCTGAGAGCGTTTCCCCAAGTGTGAGCCATGGCATTGAGGAAATGAGGGGTTTGGGGAAAGCAGTCCTAGTCACATTAGCTGAAGGAAATAGTGGAAAAAGTCAAAGCTAGATAGTTTCTTTGTTGTCAGAGCCCTTACTAAGCTGGTAGATACTGGGAACCTCCATGAGGGGGCCAGAAGACTCCACAGTGGCCCGGGGTGGGGGCTGCCCTCCCAGAATGCTACCCTGCTTTCCCCTGGGGGTGGCCGGCTGGGCTCCTGGGAGCGTGTCATCTGGGCCCCATCGCTACCCTTATGGCTTCGCATCCTGTAATGAGAAGCACCTGTTAACAAAGAGGCTGTCCATGCCTCCCTCCCCCCTGCGTTTGGGTTATTTTTTTCCTGTTCATGTATTAATTTTACAAGGCTCCCCTGCCGTACCTGAGCTGGCTTTCCCAGGGACCCACAGTTTCTAGGTCAGGAGTTCACGCAGGAAGAGACCAACACAGGCCAGACGTGCCCTCTGAAGCAGTAACTGGGCTTCTCCATCCTCCCAGGGGGCTTATCCTGCAGGACCTCACCTTTGTTCACCTGGGAAACCCAGACTATATTGACGGGAAGGTGAATTTTTCCAAACGGTGGCAGCAGTTCAACATTCTGGACAGCATGCGGTGCTTCCAGCAAGCGTGAGTGCCAGAGCGGGCGGGGTGGGGGGGCGGGGGGACGAAGGAGCACTGGGGTCTGTGGAACGGGGTCTGCACCCAGCTTGTTCTCCACACACCACATCCAGGGAGGGTGCAGGGCATGGGCCCAAGAAGCGGGGGCAGCATGTAGAGGGGTGACCAGGCTTCTGCTGCCAGCCCTCCGCCTGTGCGGAGCTCCGGTGCCGGGACCGTGCGCACAGCCCCTCCGGGGGGCCGTCGGGCTGTGGCCCCACACTGGCCCTGACTGGACGCCCCCCCCACAGGCACTATGATATCCGAAGAAATGATGACATCATAAACTTCTTCAATGACTTCAGCGACCACCTGGCGGAGGAGGCCCTGTGGGAACTTTCTCTGAAAATCAAACCCAGGAACATAACAAGGAGAAAAACAGACCGGGAGGAGAAGACCTAGAAGTAGGTGCCGTGAGCAAGGAGAACGCTCGAGAGAGGCTCCGAGGGCGGCTCCGAGACCCGGAGGGACTTTGGACCTGTCCCCGGGCAGGCTGCACGTGTCCCGGCCCCAGGGCCCAGCCAGCCCTCTGCCACGCGGGGCAGGAGCCCCAGCAGCTTCCTGCTGCCCTCCTCCGCGGGAGCGGTCGCCAGGCCCACCGTGGAGCCAGCAGGCAGGTCTCGTTCCTGATTTGTGAACCCGTGGTTTGGTTTTGGTTTTGGTTTTGGTTTCTGCTTTCACTTTGTATTCCTCTCTCCTCCCCCCTCCCACTTGGGAGCAGCACAGGGAGATGGGCAGACCAAGGCACAGTGGGACACTCTTCACCCTTCCCTACATTCTAGGGTCCTGAATCTGCTGAAATGACAAGAGTGGAGGACCCTGAAAGGTGGGGGGGCTGTACCCTGGGGACCTGGAAGCAAAGGGACTTTCAGTAGGGTGGGCAGAAAGCAGAGTAAGATCGGGGAGGCTCCTTTTACTTTCCTTGTCCTGCTTTTTAAATGCAAGATGGTGTGAGTTTTTGATGTGACCCAGAGAGGTTCACCAGGTGGCCTTCCAGTAGGCCTGGGGCTGGCGCTCCCGTCACGGTACTGGCCCTCAGAACCGTAATCTTCCCGTCCCTTCATGTCCCCGACCACCTGGCGCTTCGGGGAGCTGGGGAGAAGATGGAGCAAGGGAGGACGTGGTTGTACCTGAGCCGGGGCCAGGAGTTCCGGGGTGAGTGAAGTTGGAGAGTGGAGGGGCCTTTCTGTCTTGGGGAAGGCCGGCAGACCCCTCTTCTGTCGCTTGCTGTGTGCCTTAAACTCCATCTCCTGCCCCCCCCGCCCCCATGGGCTCCCCTCCTACCCTGCTCCATCCTGGCGGAGCCAGGGGGGTGCTCCCCTGCCCTTTCCACCAGTGCGCAGTGAGCTCTGCCCAGGGAAGGACGGGAGGTCCCTGATGGACCGGGGGCACCCGCTGAGGCTGACCGGCCCCGGCTCCCACCCCGGGGCGTACTTGCTCTCTCCACCTTCCTTGTCGGAAACGGCGCTCGCTGGTGAGGTGGGCCGTCGGAGGCAGGTTTGCAGGGAGGTCCCTGCACACAGGCCGGGCTGCTGGCCCCACACCCCTTGGGGTGCTGGTTTGCGTGACTGAGTGCTTGCTTCTCCTGGGCTTGGGACTTGGTCAAGCAAATGCCAGGATCGACCTTCTTAAACAACCATGTCACTTTGAGTCCTTCCTGAGTTTTGAGCAGCTTTCTCCACTCTTGTTTTGGGGTCCTGGACATAGAGGGGAGGACATCCGGAACTGCCAGTGGAGCCCCCTCGCGAAGCGGGCTGGCTGCTGCAGGCCAAACGTGTCACTTTCTTATTTAAAGCGTGTGGTCTTTGTTCTTCAGCGGTGCTGGGGGGGGCTTGGTGCCCACTTTGAGTCCCCTCACTGCGGTCTTGTCGTCTCCCTTCCCATCTGGCCCTCAGCCTGGCCCAGCTCTGCTGGATGCTGCTGCGTGCACGTGCAGGGGCCGCTATAGCCCCAGTACTAACGTGGACTCTCCGCCTCACGCACCTGTCGGCAGATGGTGGGGGGGGCTTTACTTTCCCTCCCCTCTCCTCTGGTAGCCCTGCCAGGTGGAGGGAGCGGTGTTCGGGGTCGGGGTAGCCCCTGCGTGAGGACCGCAGGGGCCGTATGTGTTTAACTTATTGGCTGACAGGCTCCCCACCCTGCGCCTCCTTAAGACATCCTCCTGGCTCTGGGAGTTGCCCCACCCTGTGCCAGCCCCGCAGCCGGGCTGTGATTGGTCTTGGGGGACCAGGACCGGGTGTCCCTGCAGGTGGGGGCTGAAGCCAGGGAAGGGTGGGCACATGCCAGGTCAGAAGGAACCCAACTCTTCAGAAGCACCTCCCTCTCCTCCGTGTCTCGCCCCTGTTACATTGTAATATATATATATCCCCACTAACCTGGCTGATAGTGGCATCTTCCTGCAGACATTTCAAACCTGTAACTTTTATATGAAAGGAAAATAAACACAATGAAAGCTGCGTTCAAGTGACAATCCGAGCTGCCCCTGCACACGTCCCAGTTCCCACACCCATGTGCTGCTGTTGGGGCCATTTGGGGAGGGTGGGACAGAGTCCACCAGCCCGTCTGGAATTTTCCCTCCTCGCTCTTGTGCTCTGTAAGTGGATTAATGCAGAAGTCCTTTGCTGCCCTCCCCCCCAGCATTCTGGTAAAACTGAAATTTCTAGGGTGGAATTCAGGGGGCACAGAGGTACCTGGAGCTACTTTTCAAAGCCCCTAAAGCAAGGTCTTTGAAGGCACACCTGTAAGATTCCACCCCCCAAGGCAACACGCACGGGCTTGGAAATAGCCCCATAGGTTCCGGTCTTCCCTCTGTCTGACGTGGGCTACCTCTCCTCCACTCACGATGAGCCGTGGACTTAATCCCAGCCTGTGTGTCATCCCCCTTCACTGTCTGGCCCATCTCCCAGTGTCCAAGAAAGAAAGAAGCTGTCAGCTGCTGAGTCCTCTACTCGCCGCCAATACCGAGAACCAGCCTGATCTGGCCTAACCTCCCTGCAGGTGACTAGGAGGTCACAGGCCAAGTGCGGATGTCTGGGCTGAGCCTGCCACCCCCAGAGGGAACTAGGAACCTGCATGCTTAACCCAGTAATTCAGGAGGCTCAGATAACCTCAAATCCATGTCCAGCCATGGGTGGTACAGGGCCAGTCTTCTGGGGGTGTGATGGCCCCACCCGGTTCCCTCTAGCAGGGTGAGAGGCAGAGCCTGCACATTCATTTAAACCATCACTCATTCATCAATTTGTTTCATTCACTAGGGGTACATGATTTAGGAACCCGGTCAGGCAGGGTTTGGGTCATTCTAGTCCGGCATTTGCTGGGGATGCACTGGAGGAACTTCTAATGTTCTGCAGCTGATAGGTAAGTGGCCCCCGCTCTGTTTCCCAGTTTTTCCAGCTGGAGGTGGGGGTAATAACAGCTTCTACCTCACAGGCCTGTGAAGGCTCAGGGAGTTAATACCTAGAACAGGGTCTGGCAAGATTATTTATATGCACATACACAGAGAGAGATCCTAGGTCCCAAGCACTCTGCAGACCGCTTTACTTCATTCACTCTTTTTAACCAAAATCCGCCCCCCCCACCCGCACCCCATGAACTATCACAGCCATGGTAAAGTGCTACAGAGAAGAGGTACTTGGTTTGCATCAAGTCCAGACAGGCTTACCAGCAAGTCGTCCCGAACAAGTAGCTTCCGTCTTACACACACACCCCTGAGAACAAAAGGGGAAACACCTCTCAACTCGTCTTGAGTAGAATACAGTCTTGACATCAAACCCAGACAACAGTCCAAGAAAAATTACAGGCAAATACTTGCGCAAAACTTCTAAAATAATCTTAGCAACCCCAAACCAGCAGTAAATAAAAATCAGTACTCCCTGGCCACGCTGGGCTTACCCGCAAATGCAAGGATGGAATGTCAGTAAGCTGGTGAACGTTCTAGAATTCTTATGCTCAACAGCTTATTCGGGTGCCCACATCCGGAGCACCTCTCCTTCCTGGGCACAGGGGAAACTCTGCTTCCCAGCCCCCCCCACAGGGAGGTCCATGAGGAGCCAGATACATGTCACTTGGGCCTGGGAACTCAGCACGTGTGCCACCTTCATGCTTACTCTTTCCCCACCATGACACACTTAGATGACAGAGTTCCAAGTGGAGGGAGACCAGACAGGGACCACCCCCAATGTCCCACACTAGACTATACATGAATAGAAAATGAACTTGTGCGAACTAACCTACTGAGATTTCAGGGTTTATAAATTTTCACAACATGGCCTAGCTGCTCCTGAATGCACCATATTAACAAATTAAAGGAAGAACACCATATAATCACCTCAGTCGTCAGAAAGGCCTTTGTTAAAAATGCAATACCCATAATTTTCATTTAAAACTCTTAGAAATCAAAAACTTTTTTAATCTGATAAAAGTCACCTTCCAAAAATCCTATGCAAACGTTATACTTAACGTTAAAATACTCAGAGCATTTCCTTTAAAATCACCAAGTTAAGGATCCTACTTGTACTGGAGACTCTAGCCAATGTGGCAGGAAAAGAAAAAAAAATGAGATTACTAAGAAAATCTCCTGGGCTGCCTGGCTGGCTCAGATGGTAGAGCATGCAGCTCTTCATCGCAGGGCCGTGGCTGCAAGCCCCATGTTGGGCATAGAGCCTACTTCTTAAAAAAAAAAAAAAAAAAATGAAATTTAGGGGCGCCTGGATGGCTCAGTCAGTTAAGCATTTGACTCTTGATTTCGGTTCAGGTCATGATCTCAGGGTCATGAGACTGAGCCTTTCATTGGGCTCTGCACTGGGCATGGAGCCTGCTTGGGATTCTCTCTGTCCTCCCCCCCCAACTTGTGCACTCTCTCTCTAAAAAAATAAAAAGGAATCTTCGAAGGTAGTTAGCTATAGAGTCAGAAAAAAAAATTGAATATGTTTCGATAATACAATCAACAATTAAAAACCAATTCTTGAAGGCTCCCATTTATGCTGCCATCACAGGTCTTAAGTGAAACATTTATCCTCCAAAAAAGAGGATATAGCAATTGTAAATACTTTTGTACCAAGAGAGGAACACCTTTATACACAGCAAATTTTAATAGACCTAAAGGGGGAAAGGACAGCAATAGAATAATAAAGGATTTAAGTATGCCATTCACATCGACAGATCATCCAAACAGAAAACCAGTAAGGAACCATCAGCCTTGAAGGACACAATAGACTAGAAGGACTTGATAGAACGTTCCATCCAAAAGCAACAGAATATGCATTCTCAAACGCACATGGAACATTCTCCATGGAACATAGATGTTAGGCCACAAAACAAGTCTTAATTTAAGAAGATTGAAATCCTATCAAGCATCTTTTCTAACCAGAATAATATGGAACTAGAAATCAGTTACAAAAAGAAAACTGGAAAAGCATTATGTGGAGAGTAAACAACGTACAACTGAACAACCAATCGGTCAAAGGAGAAATCAGAAAATACCTTGAACAGGGTGCCCGGGTGGCTCAGCTGGTTAAGTGACTGCCTTCGGCTCAGGTCATGATCCTGGAGTCCCGGGATCGAGTCCACATCGGGCTCCCAGCTCAGCGGGGAGTCTGCTTCTCCCTCTTACCCTCCCCCCTCTCATGCTCTCTCTCTCTTGCTCGCTCTCTCTCTCAAATAAATCTTGAAAAAAAAACACCTTGAACAAATGAAAATGGAAACAACGTATCAAACATACGGAGTGTAGCAAAAGCAGTTCTAAGGGGGAAGGTGATAGGAAAAAACTAAAACAACCTGACTTATAAGCAACCTCAAGGAACTAGGAAGAGAACAAACGAAGCCCAAAGTTAGGAGAAGGAAGGAAATAACAAAGATCAGAAATAGAGACTAAAAAGACAAAATTGACAAACCTTTAGCTAGACTCCCCAAGAGAGTACTCAATCAGAAATGAAAATGATGTTACAACTAAAAAGGGGAGGGGAAGTGCACCTTAGAGCTTACTTAAAAAAAATTGATGTTACAACAGATACCACAGAAATACAAAGGATCGTAAAGAGACTATTAGGAACAATTATATGCCAATAATTTGACAACCTAGAAGAGGTCAATAAATTCCTAGAAACATAAAACCTATCAAGACAGAATCGTGAAAATTAAAGAAAACTGAACAGACCAACTACTAGTAAGGAGACCAGTCAGTTCATCAAAAACCTCCCAACAAACACAAGTCCAGAACCACATGGCTTCACTGGTGAACTCTACCAAACGGTCAAAGAATGAATAGCAGTCTTCCTCCAACACCTCCAAAAAATAGCAGCAGAGGGAACCCGTCCACACTCAGTTTACGAGGCCATTACCCTAATACCAAAACAAGACGAGCAGTCCACAAGAAGAGAAAATCACAGGCCGGGGCACCTGGGTGGCTCAGTCAGTTAAGCGTCTGCCTTCGGCTCGGGTCATGGTCCCAGGGTCCTGGGATCGAGCCCCGCATCGGGCTCCCTGCTCAGCGGGGAGCCTGCTTCCTCTGCCTGCTTCTCCCCCTGCATGTTGTGCTCACTCTCTCTGTCAAATAAAATCTTAAGAAAAAAGGAAAATCACAGGCCAGTGGCCCTGATTCACACAAATGCAAACATCCTCAATAAATGATAGCACACCAAAT